GTTCTGCGCTAGTCCCTAAAAAGTTCGGTCCAGACCCGGTCCGAACTCGTTCCCCGTGGACCACTTAACATCCCTACCTATAAGACATACCCTAACTCTAACCCAAACTAACCGTCTCCTTTAAATAGTAAAACCCGGATTAATATATAAAATACCAAACTGGTTCAAATACAATAATCATACTAACCTTATACATAGTATAAAGCTACTAACCTTTTACATAATCGCATAATTAAAAGATCAACAGAGCAAGTTTTGGCATAATGATTAGGTCATTTGCAACGGGAACAAAGGCGTGTGCCTTTATCGTTATCTTTCTTAGTATATGATTAAGTAGTTTTAGGTTTTTTTTTTTTTTTAGATAAAATAATATTTCTAGAATTTTAGACTACCGTATTTGCGCAAATAACGCCCATGGGTGTTCTTTAGAGACACAGTTTGAAGAGAGCTCATATTTAATTTATCAGAATGCGAATTATTAATTATTCTCTTCAAAATCTATATCGTAATAGAGCCAATTTGTAATAACTTTTTTGTTTTAATTTTATTAAAGTTATTGCAAAACCAGCCTTATTACAGTGTAGAACTATAAGGTACATTTGCTGGGCGAACCTAGTGGGAGATTATTCTTGTTCCGGTAATTATATTTTTTGCAACCTGAATTTATCTTCAGATTTGGTAATGTTTGAGTGTCGCTAAAAGAAAACCCGACAATTTAAATATGACTTATATTTAAATTTTCGGGTTTTCTTTTAGCGACACTCATTTAATAATTTTCGTGGCATTATCAAGTAGTTTGTGCACTTGATACCGGAGATTCTAACTTGATCCAATGAATAATGAAGTATAAAAAAGATCAAATATTAATTTTGTTTCTTGATAGTAAACTTGGCAGGTTATAATCAAAACATTCATTTTGTCAGCTATAGCCCTTTTTTTTTGAGGAATATTTGTTATAACATAAACACTACAAATTCATTATGCAAACTGTTTCTGAGTTCAATATTGTGTGTTGAATTTCTCTATTTAAACATATATAACTTTAAAGCGATTAACTCATAAATTACATTCGATATTTATTCCAAAGTCTAAATCCATTGTTTCCATATCAATCAAGGTCCGTTCCATAGTTTCTAGATCATTTCTTCCTTCCTTCAATTTGTTCATCATCTGTTGAGATTCCGATGCAATTAATGTGTAATTGTTCCTATATGTGTTTAGTAGTTCACGTCTGAAAAGTTATCATTTGGCAGAGTATTTTTAATATGTTAAAGTTGCAAGTATCATATAGCAAAATTTGAAATTATCGTACTTGCGTTCAAACTGTTTCTCCAAGCTTTGACTCAAATTTGTCTCGCTTTGAATTATAGCATTTTCAGAAGCTTGAAATAGTGTAGAGTCTTGTTTTTGAAATTGTTTAAATATTGCCTATTTGATGTTATCAATAGTAAATATCAATCATATTCTCTATCTTCTGCGATAGATATATATACCTCTCCAACGAGTTGCAGTAAACTTCTGATTTCCTCATCCAATTGTTCATCTGCAAATGTTTGTTGCCCATTATCGTGTTCTTGTATTGCTTCGTCATTATCATTAATAGTAGGTGAACTATCTCGTGAATTAATAATACATAAATCTACAACAATAAATAAATTTCAAAATGAGTTAGATGTGTTAAATTTTTCCTTTGCAATTTATATTTATAAAACACTGAAATACCATCCTGCATCGAAATTTCTTCATCATCTTTATCTTCATCTTCGCCCAAATAATTTGTAAATGCTTGTAACCGTTTTATAAAAGCAACTATAGTAAAATCTAATTGTAAAATATTACAACTAAAGAAAAGGCTTAATTACTTTTTTTTAAAAAAAAATTACCATGCCTATTTTCGTCCCTGTCGCCGGTTTTCTTTTCTAAAATTAAATGAGAATAAATTTTTTTTCATAAATATAATCCACATTTATACTTACGATATTTTGACTTTGAACGTTGTACGTCGGTCACATCTATACATTCAATATCACTTGAGGAATCATAGTTATTTTGCTTTGGATTCCAAAATTCTTCTTCACTCATTATTTGACTTTCGTCATCATCGACCTAAATTTTCAAAATTCTTAAACAATCAATCGTGATAAATAATAAAACGGTTTTAATCCTTTCATTCTTATACCACAACTAATTTCTTTCCTCCTTTTTTTGTTATAACTCGATAATTAGAGTTGCTTTTGAGTTGATCGTCACTTCGATATTGCTCCGGATATTCTGGTCCGTCATCATTTAAATCCAGAGCTTTTCGTTTGCTCCCTCCGTGACTTACTTCACGGTTTTCCCCGGTATCATTTTTGTTTTTGCAAGCAACGTTATTAAATAAATTTTTTCTTGTTGCATTTGCTTTAGCTAAAGAGTTGAGATTTTCGTTTGCACGTGGTAAGCCAAACAGTTTGTCGTTTTTTACTGAAGAGCCGTTATTATTTTTCGCAACGTTTGATTGGTATCGTGCGTTTTCAAGATCCGTACCATTTGATACCTTTGTGTCATTTCGAGTTTCTGCTTGTCTTCTTACTATGTCTTTTGGATTATCTTTGTCATATTTAGATTGATCTGTTCGCTTTTGCACACTATTTACATTAACAGTTGTCGAAACGTTCTCATTACTTCTTATGGCACTTGAACTCGAACATTCATTGTTTAATATTGTCTTATTCACAACAATTTCGTTGTCTTTTTCCACAAGATCAGCATTATTACTAATTTTGCTTTTTTGCTTTGAAGCAGACAAATTCAATGGCTTTGTTCGCTGTTTTGGAGGTGGAAAAGCATATCGATGATTGACATTATAATTATTCTCTAATATTTGCGTTAGTGACTTGCGATCCATAGAATTTATGTTATTACATGGTGAATTTTCATTTGACGAAGACGATATTGGTAAAGGTGGTGGTGTAACATTTTTTGGCAATTGGCTGCGGCTTTTCGCAAGAATATTATTGAATGTACTTGTATTATTTTGGGATTCGTCAACGTTCACTAGAGTGACTTCATCAAAATCAGTATCTTTTAATATGTTAATATGTCTATCAATTCGATCAGACGTAGGTGTCTTGGAGGCTTCTAAAGATTTCGACAAAGTATCAAGAGCGGTGGTCGTATTGAACGAAGAAGAATGCGGCTGTAAAATTCCTATGGAAACAGAAACTTTTGGTTGCTGTGTCCTTGGTTTCTAGATTATATAAATTATAAAACATAAATGTAATTTGTTATTATTAAATTATCAAATATCTTTGAAACCCCTTTTTAAACTCACAATTTTTTGATTAGTAAATATTTTCTCAATACTGTCTTTTATCCTGCCTTCAACAGGGTCAAATGTCATAGTAAGAACATGTTCATTAACGGAAAGATTCTGACCATCAATCTTCAAAGGTTCGGAAAGGTATAGCTTCAAAATTTGGTCTATAATTGAAAAAATGTAATCAGTTATTTATTATTAATTTTTTATTTATTTATCATATTTACTTACCAAAGTCGCTCTGAAAATCCCATGATGATATTTTAGAATATTTGATATCTATTACATCAACATCTGCAGATTCATCCTCCTGAAAAATTTTGCGCTGGCTCAGTATTAAAAAGAAATATTATACACAAGAAGCATTTATTAAAAATATACATTAGCCTCCGCGGATGCTGTCGTGGATATTGTAACAGATATTGTCCATTTATTAAAATCCACAAAGAAGTAACGTTGACCTTCAGGACTGTATAATTCACATTGATTATACTTCATGCGAGAAACTTTAAACGTTTTTGGTCTATCAGCAATGATATTTGTGAGAATCGTATATAAAGGATTTGCTGCTATGTAGGTAATATGTATAAAGAATATACACACGTTTTTGATATCCCATCATTTTTTGCATTAACGTCGTTCAAGAAATACCTCGAGTCCTATAATAATAATAATCAGTCAAGCAATATGAATCGAGATTAAAATGAAAACTAGTTTATTAACAATCCTAATCCAATCATAAAAAAGTCTAAAGAAATGCATCGAAATATTCTATCACGACGTGTAATTTCAAATTAAAATAGAACAAAATTTCATTTGAATTATATACCTCGAAAAATTCGTTGGCTGTAATACTAAGAAATTTTGTTACAACTGCTTGATTCATAAATGCCTTATTTGCAAAAATTTCTCGATCTTTTTGCACTCTTGGGCATAATCTGAAAAGTATCTCAAGATGGCGAAGTTGAAGTTCATAATCTAAATGAAGCGATATAATAGAATTTTTACACATTAAGTTTCGCACACATGATTAATTAAATTAAAGTAAGCACACACCTAACGCAGATATCATAGAGGAAGCAAGATCAGAACTACATTGGAACAAAGAGTCAAGTTTATGATAAAAAGTTGCAGCATCAATGTACAAAGCCAAATTTATTAATCTTATAGAGGATACATATTAAAAAACTGTTCTTGGCTTAACAGCTTTTTGTTTTCTTTGCATCCTGTTAAAAGGGCATTGATAACGTTTGCTGCCTTGAAAGATTTTCATATAAGAATTCTTCTATCAAAAAACAACACGCATCAATATAAATTATCAATTTTCATACCATTCTTCTGATATCGACTGGGAAGGTTGATTTTAGCAACGCTTGTGAGAGAATTTTGATACAAAGTTTCCCTAATGTCTCTCGGTCTTGTAAAATTGATATAGGTTTATTATTTATGTTTTAACAGAAATAATTTCGTATACATTTAGAGAATAGAATACATTACCTGCACTATCTTGCTGAATAAATTTCTTTAAAGAGAAGATTATTTTATCATATTTTTATTATTATATAAAATATTGTTGATAATTTTTCATACGTACCTCAATCAGAGAAAGGGTTTCAAGTACAATTTTCGCCCAATCGTCTTCTTGACCATTTTCAAGCAAACCGCTATTAATAACTATTAAAGCGATGTGGCACAATATGTCTCTTGATTTCTTTGCAACATCTTTATTATCTTTATATTCATGAAGCAAATATCCCAAGCCATCTATAGCTTGCTGATAAGTAGCCGTATTGGTATCATAAAAGAGATTTGGTCTCGAGAGCTTGTAGTGCAGATAGTTGGACGAATGTAAAAATATTTTGGTTTAAAGTAATGGCATGAAATAAATGCTTTACCTCATCTTCTAATATTTTTAATAACTTTTGAAGTGTCTTTTGTAATCTGCAAAATTTACAAAATTTTTACAAGTAAAAAAAAAAAATCAATGAGTTGTGACAATATATATTTTATTTTTTAAGGTAATTATTACGGACTCTTTAGAAGCAATAGAGCTCCCTTTCTTTGATGGTCTTCCACGTTTTTTCTTCTCAGATCCTACTGATTTTGTGCTAAGAACGTTATTGAGATCGTCGAAAGCTTCTTTCAGATTATACTTTGACTTGGACATTTTCGACGTTTTTTGAGAGAAATCCAAATGCTCGGTTTATGAAATATTAATATCGTAAAAGTCTATAAACAAATAAAATAAACTATCGCAATTATCTAGATTTCCAAATCAGTAGTTTATTAATTACGTAACTTATTACGTACGTACGTATCAGTATTATTAACGTTAAACATTTTATTACGTAAACTGATTTTGTATCAAGAATATGAAAGTCAACAAATATTATTTACTATTTAAAACTAACAGCGATCATTATGAAATTATTGAAAGATAGCAATAATCAAAGATTACCACTTGTTTGTGACTAGGGTGACAATAGTGGATACATACAGTAAATATAGGAAATATATGCAAGACCTGTGAACTCTATTTGTCGAAACTGGACATGCGAATATGCCAATATCATTTTATATAATATAAAAATATAAACATGCTTGGACATCCTTGGACACGGCTGTGAACAGATAGAAAGAGGCTCTGAATATCAAAAATGTATAACATTGATTGTTAATACTGTATTTCATCAACAGTGCAATTCTCCAATAGTCCATTTTTCCGGCATAAACATAGTATGCATAAAATTTCTATATACCTTAATTATAAAAAACGAACTTTTAGATGAATATAGGGCACTAGATGAAATGTTATTTGTGAAACCTATGATACGTATCACATATCACGTAACTTCACGAGAAGTGTGAAGCAACCTCACACGCAGGTTATGTACGTACGTACGTACGTACGTACATAAGCTTTAAATGGTTATGACATATCCCTATGTATTATATAATTCTTACGTAGTGATAGCCCCAATAAATATATATATATTTTTACTTTTACCGTATTAAAACTTTTATGTTTGATAAATCGATTACCATTAAAGATTTCCTTAATTAAAAAGTTATTTCTTGCGAGATGTATAATTTGCGCGTATATGTTACGGGTCAATTGGTTTTAGGTCAAGTTAAACTTGATCCGGGTCAAATGACCGGGGTAAAATCGCCACCCAAAAAAGTTTCGAACATCACGGAGCACCAAAAATTCATGTAACTTGAACAAAAAATACAAACGAAAAAAATTTATAGACTAACAAAATAATAACGATAAAAAATTTGTTTATTTCGAATAAACTCCAATAAAAATATTTGTTGCCAGAAAGTACAGTCAACTCTTTCTATGACGAACTGAAGATTTTAGAAAAAAAAAGTTCGTTATATAAAATTATTATGTTTTCTTAAGAACCATG